AGTTAATCAGCGAGCGTTTTGTTTGGCCCAAGATGAACTCCGATATTCGGAAATGGGCCCGCCAATGCTTGCAATGTCAAAGATCCAAGGTACATCATCATACCGTCACACCTCCAAAACAGTTCAATTTACCGGATAAACGATTTCAACACGTTCATATAGATATTATTGGACCATTACCGCCATCCAGAGGATTTACTCATATACTTACTGCGATTGATCGATTTACCCGATGGGCTATTGCTTGTCCACTCAACGATATATCTGCAGAAAATATCGCTTTGGTTTTCTTAGATCGCTGGGTGTCAAACTACGGAGTACCCACAACTATTACAACAGACCGAGGAGCTCAATTTCAATCAACTCTGTTTCGAGAGTTTACGAGACTCCTTGGAGTGAACCATATCTCCACTACAGCTTATCATCCTGCAGCGAATGGTCTGGTGGAACGTTTCCATCGACAACTGAAAAGCTCGCTTATGGCACAAGCTGACTCATCTAAGTGGAGTGAACACCTACCATTAGTTCTTCTCAGTATCCGATCAACTGTAAAAGAAGATTTGGGATGTACACCAGCTCAACTTGTGTATGGTACTACCCTCACATTGCCTGGTCAGTTAGTTCCGTCTAATGATTCAACTGAAGTAAATATCTCCGACTTCACCAACCGCCTTACCCAGCATATGCTTCAGCTTCGACCAGTAGCCCCTCGCCAATCACTTCAGAAAGCTCAAGTAAATAAGAATCTACTCACTAGCAAATTTGTATTTGTTCGCGTCGATGCCATTAGAAAAGGTTTACAGCATCCATATGAAGGTCCTTTTCTAGTACTTAAACGCACCGATAAATACTTCACGCTGAACAAACATGGTAAACCGGAGACTGTTTCTATCGACCGTCTTAAACCAGCGTACACCGACAGCGAACATGAAACACTAGCAACGCCGACACCAATGAACAATCAGAAAGTCAATTCAACTCCAACTCTCCCTCTCTTCACTCTTCCCCCTGTACAGACACGCAGTGGACGGCAGATCTGTAAACCTGCCCGCTATGTTCATTTTATTGACTGACATAAACGTTAACCTCATTTAGACATTCTTCTCATTACTATTGTTGTTGACATTCATTTCATTATAACCATAAATATTTATTAGTATTATTATTTGCTGTTCGTTAACTGTACTGCAAGCACACGCATTCACCAAGTATATGTATATATATATTTATATATGAATTTCACAAATGTTAACGAACATGTCATGGTTTATTATGTACATAAATTTTTTATTTAAAATTATAACAAGTTTTGATTTTTTTTAAATTCCTGTATGCTAATGTATGTGCTAAACTTTATACGACACGGATGCATGCCATACATCCTGATCTAACTTTGTATCCTTATTGTTGTTATTTTTTTTGTTATCCTTATTGTTGACATTGTCCCTTATTTATATTGCTTATATTCATGTAATCGTCCACGAGGACAGTACTGATGGTCCTCCGGACCTCTAAGAGGGGGAGCCCTGTGGAGTCCTCAAAAATAAACTTATCCAAATTTTACTACTATGTAAATAATGAACATATTGTACACTACTTTGTTTTAACCATAAACTCTGTACTTTGGACTTTACCTCGGGTTTTGAATAAATATATAGTTCTGCCTTCGACTCTCCGTCTTCTCCACCATCCCAACTGCCGTCGATCAATTTTAATAAAAAAAAAAAAAAAAAAAAAAAAAAAAAAAACACCGTAGTTCTTCCTACGTACTTTGGTCGACCTCCGGCAACCTCAACATTGGAGAATTAGTACTGGAGCAGTCTTCCCGCAGCACCTGGAGTCTATTACGTTTATTGTGGACTTTGGATCTTTGTAAACCCAAGTAACCAAACTTTAATACATTCTTCCCGTAACTAAACTGATTTGGTACTTTATTTTCTATTTGAATTTGGGGAACTAAGCTAACAGAGTAAAAGGTCCACCACACCACACACTCCTAAATGTGGAGAACTGGATCATGCTGCAAAAGATGGAAAGCAAGAAAATAGGAATGCACTGCACCGATAAGACTCTGGAAGATCTGGACTTAGCGGAATATTCTTATCCAATATCAAATAAATCCGAAGGCCCACAGACGAAAGCCAACAAGTTGGCAGAAGAAGCAGCGAAGACAGGAATTCAAAGGAACTCAGATGGGATCGAGGTAATGAAGATAACCAACCACCACTAACATCAACAACAACAAGCACCAATCACTATCAACGGAGTAGATTTGAAAGATGTCAATTCCTTCACTAATCTCCATTCAGCGTTGTTTCAGCTACAGGCCGAACGGATAAGGATGTCAACATCAAAGTCGGAAAGGCAAGATAGACCTTCGCCACTCTGAAATCAGTTGGGAGATCTTCACTTAGCATAAAGAACGGAGTACATGTTTTCAACACCATTGTTAAGTCAGTCAGTGCTTCTATGTGGGTCAAAAACTTGCACTGAACTTCACCGAAAACCACTTCCAACTGGTTACAGACCTTTATCAACAGCTGTCTGCTCAATATTGAAGATTAGATGGCGAGGAACGAACCAACCAAGAACCTATTGCTCCACAAATATGTAGAGGAAAGTGTAGTTGGGTTGGATATACGCTGAGGAGACCATCGGATGACATAGTACATCAAGCTCTCAAGCAGAACCCAAATACGAGACGGCCAGTGAAGTATCCTGTGGTGACATGGAGATTGCTCAGGAAGATGGTAGACCATGGAGAATCGTGAGAACAGCCAAAGAGGACCGCTGTTGAAGACCTATGTTCTAATCGGAACCCGAGCGAAAAATTATAGTAATACAGGTTGGTACTGAGTATACTGAACCAAATTTAGTGGTAATTTTGTTAAACCTGACAATATTTTCCAACATCAGACTGAGTTTCACAATAACTACCAGAAAGTCGTACTCCTACGGAAAAACCCTCCTCAAACGTCTACAATATGCAACACTTGAAAAGGTCACCGGCTATATCAGTGCTAGACAGCAACAACTTAAGTCAGACAACGTTTACATTAGTAATTACTTTATCTTTCAAGCACTTAACTATGATACGTCAAACCCAAGTTCCAACTGAACAGTCTACGCACAACACTCTTTGGAATTCAAAATAGCCGACTGATCAGAAACGCTTTTTCCATAATCTTTACATATCAATAAAACCACCACGTCAACAGAAAGTCCTTATTAGGTTACACTGAAAATCTAACAAACCTGGCCTTATAAATACATGTAATGACATTTCAAATGAATAAATTTCTGTTGGCTCGTCTACTACCTGCTGAACTCTCTTCAGTGTTATTCACCCAGTGCATCATTACAGTATTGAAAACTGAATAAACTTTCCAACTTAGAACTTTGAGCAAAACGTCACCTTATCACACTTCATGCAAGCACACATGAAGGTAGGGAATAAGAGAAAACAAATGTAATGAACTGTGACAAAATGAATTTACGGAAGAAATAATAATTACACGACGAATAATAAGGATTTAATCGATCTATGAGGTCAAAAAGAGTGAAAACATTTGTGACATTGCGAACAATTTCGAAACATGTCACCGACAGTCACGAACCACTAACTCTTAACGTCTCAAGAAATCCGTCAGACATAGCTTAAAACAACAGTCAAAAGTTTCATAAATTGATGTCATGTTTCGGTTGGACCACCTCGAACTCTTCTCCAACAAAATTCTACGTCACCTAATACTGCTCGATGAAGGCGATGGCTTGGAATGCATAATGCATATTACAAACAACCCAATCAATCGATGGAGCCTCACAACTGAAACATAAAATACATCGGTAACCCACTATAAACGACTTACAATATGATGGTAATTGCTTTTAGTCCAACTGCTGTCCAGGAGACTTTTCTGGTATGGTAAGACTTGCATGAACATCCGTTCCAGTCATTATGTCATGAGATCATCGCTGGTTACATGCCTAATTATCAAGTCAAAGTAGAAGCTATCAGATGGGAATAACAGCATTAGCTAAATACTGCCTGAATAAGTACATCGATGGCTGGATTTCGATAAAGAGAACCTTCACATATGTATAAATACATAGAAGAGCTAACACAAATATGGGAAATACGTGATTTGGCTATTTGAATAATAAGTACTGTCACATCGCTAAACAAGAATGTGATAACAATTTTCCAATTCCCCGTCACTTATGTCACAAACTCATCCACAAGTTGCTCAAATGACTAGGCTAAGTGAGAACATAGAAGCTAGCTTTTTGACTTTGCTTCAGAAAGCTTGACAGACGACTGGAAAATACCGTTGAGCTACTCTACTGTCAGTAGGGAGTTACATTTCTTCAAGGCATGGAAAATTCCCGTGTGGTTTAATTAAGAACACTGGACTGGTGTAGTATAATTCAAGTTCAATTTGCTCATTTCGCAAAATGTCTAATTCACTTGTGAGTAAAAACATATTAACACTAAGATACTCAATTTCGTTGAAAAATTCTTTACGGAAATACATGCTATTGGCGTTCTATCAAGTGACTAATCAACGAAGTATTAACAAATAAGTATGCAAAAAGTTTTTTTTTTAATGTCAGTATAAGCAATAAAATCATTTGAATAACTCATATTATCAACTGTAGATCTACCGGTAGTTCCTATTTAATTATCCTCTTATATGTACAAAATTTGTAACATGGAATGGAAATGAATGAGCAGCAAAATAATAAAACTCAAAACAAAACTGAATATAAAAACAGTCCAAACAGTGAATTATAAACAGGATTCTAGAAATATACAAAATAGAGAAATGTGAGGAGCAGCAACGATAAAATATGAATAAAATGAGAACAAATATATCTCAATGTGCGCTGATATGTGTCAGTGAAGGGCACTAAGTTGTTTTTCAAATCAGTTATTATATAGAATATAAGTCATAATTATACGTAACGGTGACAATGCATGTGTAGTAATAGGAAAGGAGCTACGATTGAAAAAAGTCATCATCTACACCAACACATATATCTGAGAAAAAGCTTGGATCGAATGACGCAAGATTAGTTTGTGTTTCCACACTGTTCAACCATAATTCGATATCTTCATCGATTGTCTGTGTTTGGTTATGCGTGAAGTCCACACCAACTGACCAATCATGCTGTGTTGTTGTGTCGATAGAATTCAGGTAACAAAACTGCTGATTGTCAGGTAAAACAGGCATAGTACTAGTTGTTGCAAACATTTTATCTGAAGGAGACGATGACGACTTACATCTTAGCACTTGATCTGTTCCGCTGGACAAATCGTATTCATAATTTAACAAATTGGCACCAGTACAAGCATCAGAGGCAACTGACGTCTCCATATTTAATGCTTCTATAACTTTTAGAAAAATAATAATAAAAACATGCATTGTGACGGTAAGGCGATACAACAACTAACGACAATTCGGATGTGAATTCATATACAAGATGGTGGAAAGGCAGTATGAGGGGCTCTATGTGTCAATAAGACGAGTAGTTAGATTCGACATTAATCGTAAAACATTCTATTTCAAGCTCCTGTATACCAGCTAGAACTTGACACCAATCACTTAATTCATTTTGGAACTGCAGTAACGGGAAATTTTAAAAAGGTACAACATAAAACACTTGTCAGGAAGATAGGAAACAAGTAATTCTTTAAAAGAAGACTATCTATGTCATCTTATTATCAGTTATGAGACACGATCTAACTTATGAAACTATGAAAATCGTGATTGTCCTCTGATAATATCATAAATATGCAACAAATGACTTAAAGCTGTCACCGCATGATACCTTCTTCAATGGAAATTAGAAGTGCACAGTATTTCCGACTTTTTCTTACAGTTTAATTAAAAGGCAAGTGGACTTTATATCTAACACAAAGATTCGATACAGTTTATACATCAAGGTGGATAAAAATGAGTAATAAGATATTTCACTAGTGCAAAATTCGCCTATGTGTAAGTAAAAACAGATATTAACTCAGGAAACACCACCAGATAATGTAACCTAAAATAGAGAAACCACTACGCAGTGTAGTTGTGCACAACCTAGACTGGTGGCACCTAAAAACAGATGAATAATAATAGTTTTCAAGAGTTACGTTTCAGGGATCTGATTTGCCTTAAGTTTGATCACGGACCGATATCAGTTAGAGAACCATTAAAAATCGGGGAGTATGGGACATCCGTTTCGTCCCAAAGTGGGAATCTTCAGTATCGCACCCCAGGACCCCGTCAATGATCGAATCCGAGACTTTTAGGGTGAAAGTTCAATCTCGTTGACCGTTCAACCACTTGGGTTGGAAATTCAGCGATCCGACCAATGTTCTACTACGAAACCGACTGAAAATCAATAATAAAACATTACTAAACAAAAATTCTAATCGAAGAAGGAAGTAATATTACAAAAAAGACTTACCAAAATTATATCCACTGAAACCGCAAAAAACCGAAAAACCTATCAAGTCAAGCTGGGGATTACACAGCAAAGCGTTCAGAAAAATCTTGTTGTGATTGTTTCTAAAACACGCTGGGATTATTTGAAATAATTGATAATGACTCAATCTGACTCGGCGCTCAGGAAATTTCTAACACATACGGTCTGGAAACTTACAGAAGCTTTAAATTGAAATATCAATTTTTGCAAGCCTTTCACATTTTACTTTTGTGTCCTTTTCATCAGTTTTATTCCGTTTTACAATGATCTTTTATTTCCTGTGTTTGCAACTTAATCTTTCGCTCCGCCATTCAATATTCTTGTAGAAGACATCACACAAGATATAGTATGCATAAATTTTTGTCAGTAGCACATATCATCGCCCCTCACTTTTGCTTTAATGAAGAAACTTCAATTGCTTTACACACATAACCACAGCAATACTCTTATCTCTTACTTAATGAACACCTCAACTCATTTTGATGTGGTTATGTTCTCCGAGCGAAGCTTTCATTGCCCTACTAGGTAACATCTTCAGCGCATACTTCAACTCATCTACACACCATGATCACTCTTACTATTATATATTTTAAATCCCAAGAACAAAGATGCATTAGAATTGTAATAAAAGTGTTAACTTTTACTACTCACGTTATAAGCAGTTGATCAGATATCAACAAAATAAAATAAATCCCTGTTCCATATGTTTTTGCTATTTTTTTTTTTCAGAAACATCACTCTTCATCAAACAATATACACAATTGTGTATAATTCAGTTAAATCTAAAACCAATTTGAATCTACTTTTTTCTCTTTCTTCATTAATGTTAGATTTCGAAAAATAAACAGGAAGACTGAATAATATGAGTAACCATTGTACCATACAATATACTCAGTACAAAAAGTGAGAGAGAGAAAGCAATGAAAAAAAGACAATCCAAAGTAGTACATACATTTATTTACAAAGACAATAACATGTATAGCTTAAGAGTGAGCTTCATCCTCGCGAATCTTTTCACTCCTGTTTTGCAAGAGGACTGACTGGCCATGTAAATAAATTTCCATCAACACCGCAAGTGTACAATTCCATTAGTCGGTTATTCCAAACACATGACCGAATCTTAATATGACAAAAGTATACAGAAAAAAAAAACAACTATGATACAAAACAAAAAGTTATGAACGAAAAATAATAAAATAATCCAAACTAAATATAAAGCACATGGCCTTTCATATGGTAATTTATCACTGAAACTGTCTGTGTAAGGTGACCTATAACAGTAAATGAAGTAGTTACTAAAATACACAACTATTTAGGTGTAGTTGTGTTCTCTGAGATGGTTTATTTAATTGAGAGACTTTTCTCGTTCTTCTAGGCAAAATCTTCAGTGCAGGTTTTTAGTATGGAATGAACATTTAAATTTCCAATAAATGATATCATTCACCTAGATCAAAGAACACAACTACACCAAAACTACAGTAGTATAATAATTAATACGCCTGGTAGATGTTCTAGTTGTCGTTTTCGTTAGTCTGATTTCTCTTGTTGTAAAACATCTCATTGAATTTTAAGACAAGCAATTACATTAACTAAGATGCACTAATTTGTATGCACAACACACCCTTACATTTGTTAACATGAAATAAGACTAAATAAGTGGCGAATATGCAATCATGTTTAATTCCATTTTAGATTTTTTTCGTCGACTAATTGGACCGAAGTGCTCGGTCAAAGCATCTGCACAAGAAACGGACATGTCCACCTGAGACCGAGCACTTCGACCCAATCAATCGACGGGAAAATCTGAAATTCAATTAAATAATTAATATGACCTGTTGTGCAAGAGGTGGATCTCTTAGCCCAAGTGGTCTAGTCGATAACGCTTCGGCGTTTGAAAATATGGGCACTGGGTTCGAGTCTCTGTGTTAACATTATCACTCACAGCGGAGTGCGAATACATCCAGGTGACGAGCCCCATAACCATCCACCAATAAAATTGTAATGATGTTTTCTAGATCTTACTATGTGAAAAATAAGCTACAATTAATGGAATAAACAGATGTTTCTCTAATCAATGAACACGATTAAACGACGATCAGTAGTTTCTTACGTTATTATTGAGGGTGAGTGACAATATGCGGATAAATAAGGCTCGACATAAAGCAAGATTTCAATTCGAAATAAAGGTACTACACCAAAGAGCGAAGACAACAGTGAAAGACTGCTTGATTATTACTTCACAAATCCATAAAGACTTTACGAGTATTAAACAAAACCTTAAGCGTCCACATTCTTGTAATTTAAAAATTCCGACGGAAAACACTCAGTCGAATTTACTACACCTGAGAAAATCTTGCTCATATTGAACCTACTTTTACAATTAATCAGGTGTACTATGTAAGTACTAAAAGTTTAACATGAAATAAACTAGTGGATCATTACAAGCTTTTCTATCTCATAAGTGACTAATGAAAGAACTAACCTTCGAAAAATGTCGTGTGATGAATCTCGTTGATGAATCAAGCTTAGTTGCAGAAGCTATTAATAATCGGTTCCTCACTGGGACAAAAACACATAGAGGTGGGGCTCCCCACAGATCTCCCGTTGATCCGCTTGTAACAGCCAGTCTCATAGGTAGGATATTTGATTGTGGACTGTGAATGTTTCTGACTAAAAAGATTAGAATACGCGAAAGACTAACCTTGAGAGTTGGCGAGGTGACTATTGCAGGAGTTCTGAATAACATTACCAAAATTTACTGGACGAGGTAGAGGAATTTTCGTAGGTCCTTCGGAATCCCCCGGACCGGATGTCCATATTCGAAGACATGAACTATCTAGTGTTGACCCAGAACCACCCCATGAGATCAAATGCAATCCATCGGGTGAAAATGTGAGGCCATATACAGGTCCACTATATGCAGATGCTGCCAAATAAAATGCACAACAGAACATTTTAATCATAGGTATTTCAAATAAAATATGCGTTCAACATTGTTTCTCTGTAGTTATATAAAGGTAAAAAAAACTAGTGAACCTAGTAAAATATTCGCATCACTTCAATTTGCTGCATTTCAGGAAAAGTACACAACTAGTCAAAGAGTTAATAAGAAAAAAACTAAAATAAAATTAAATAAGTTGAGTAAGGTAGGACAATTGACGTGGTTGTGCGGAATTCATATAAAATTTGAACGAGTCAAGTTAACAACAGTGGTAATAAGGAAGGAAATGTAAGAAGATTAAAAAGAACGAACATGTACGAGACAGAATAATAAAATCGATACCAATCCTAGCGATTCGTCGTCCCCTAAGAAGAGTCTAAGGGAGCTTACATGTGAGCAGCTCCCAATGACCAAGTTCGTCACCTCCAGGGATACGTCAGTTTGCTTCGACCAGTTTCAATGAGGCTTCCACTAAACTTTAACTGCAGGTTATCAACAGTTTCCATTACTCTAATTATATTAACCTAGATACATCATCAGGCATCCTCAGGTTGGACACTACTGCTATGAATCAGATATATGCCTAGTCGCCTTCCCTTTGGATATAAAAAAACGTATGAACTTCTGAGGCGCTTATTTTCTATATGCCCATATGCATGAACTACTGTTCGATCGCTGTCAAGGCATGTGGTTAAGAAACAGTAGAAGTAGACTGGCCATATCCATTCCTTTATTATCGTAAAATTATCCACTAGTTCCTTCACCCAGCTGAAATCTAAACAGATATCACATGAGGAGGAAGAGAATTGTTGAACACAATTTATTGTTCATAATATTGATAGTCGTTGTTGGTTCACTAGTATGTGAATCCATAGATTCTTCCAATATGTTTTTCGATCGGCTCAACCTATTAGCTTCAGCATTGAAGTCTTCTGCCCTAAGCAGGAAACTAGTTAGCTTTCGATAGAACCAACCCTTTACTTAGTACAGATTTCAGTCAGATGGCATGAAGGCGGAGGTGATGAAAACACATGAACAGGTAGTATGCTGTTTCCTTATTCTCACGGATCAATTAAACCACATAGCACACAGACGTCAGTTCAGTGAGTTGTACTCTCAGGTAATGAAACGCATGCTCTGCAGCTCAGTGATATCCCCGAACCAACACGTTCAAATAAACTAGCTCAACAGTCTTCACCTTGATCAAGAGAGACTGAATGAATAACTATATTTGGGTCTTCCGTGATTGACTCAAACGTATAATACAGATCTAAAGCCCGATATGCAAGATTCCCAACACAATGTAAATTACTCAAACTACCCGATGGACATTTCTGGCGCGGAATAGCTTGCTGGTTTATTGAAATATGGAAAGCACGAAAGCGATTTCTTCTTGTCGAAAGCGTAGTGGTGTAGAAAAAGAAACATTCACATGAAAACAGATACTACAGCGATTTCGATAGCATCAAACAGACACAATACAAACGAAATTTAATTGACTATCCAAGTCGCAAGATCTGTCTGTCTGTCTGTTTTCGACATAGAACTTTGCACAAATGTGCGGAAGTTCAAGTCGCCACATTCCGTGTAGCACGCGAAGCCAGCAAGAGAAGAAAGTACAAGAAAAGCATAATAGAAACAGTGAGCAGAGGTGTGAGACAAAGGAGTAATAAAGAAATACAAAACAGTTTCATTGAAGATCATAAGTCACAAGAAGTGGATGCATCTGCGCTGTCACTGAGAACGATTTTGAGCCATGTCACCAATTGTTTCCAACCATAGACTTTTACCGTCCCGAGGACCCCAGCCTGGAAGTCTACACCTTCCTACGTGGCTTAGACCAACTGTTGTAGATTTCATTGACTGATGCCATGTTTTTGTTTGACCGCCGCTAGCTTTTTTCCAGTCTGACCCTATATCCGCTAACATAGCTCGTCGAGGGAGGCGATGGCTTGGCATGCGTAACACATGTCCTAACCATCTCAGTCTTTGTAGCTTCACGACTTCGTCGATTGATTTCCCCTGTTTGCCTAGAACTCTACGCCTAACCTCCATGTTGCTCACCTTATTATGCAACTTCACACGGGAAATAGAACGCAGGCACCTATGATCAAAGACAGCTAGTCTTTTCATGTCTTCCACTCTCAGTGGCCAGGTCTCACAACCATAAAGGAGGACGGAGCGGACTGATGAGCAGTACACCCGCCCTTTGGTCGATAGTCGAATATCTCGTCTACGCCAGAGTCGGCGTAAACTAACAAATGCGAAACGAGCCCCCTGTATTCGTGCTGAGATTTCGTCAGAGATCAACCCGTTGGCGTTGGCTGATGGTACTTCCCAAATAAGTGAAGCGGTCAACGTGCTCTACCACTTCACTTCCTATTTTTAAACTAGGCGTCGATGTAGTCCAGTCCTGTAACATCATCTTGCATTTGGCGGGAGCGAATCGCATGCCAAACATTCGTAGATTGCAGCTCAAGGTGTTTAGAAGACTCTGCATTTCGTCAGCGTCTTCGCCTAGAAGGACTATATCGTCTGCATATTCCAAGTCAACGAGATTATTCCCCGGTAGCAAGTCAATCCCTGAGTCGCTGAAGTCACCTAGGGTAAAGTCCATTAACACATCTATGATGAAGTTGAATAGAAAAAGAGATAATGGGCATCCTTGACGGACACCACAAGATAACATTCCTATGCTCATGTAACCATAGGGATGATAAAAATGTGAAATATAGAGTGTATTTTATTACAAAATGGATATCACTGGAATCTTGTGAACGACACACAGTGATAAAATGAAGGTGAATGCTGTCAATAAGAGGGGAAATTTAAAACGAGTGTTATTTGAAGGCGAAATGCATAGTGATATATTAAATCGTAAGATCAATACGTCGATAGTAGTAAAAGTTACACATCAGTTTATCAAGCAGACCTTTGTTGCCGTGAACTAAAGATAACTGTTTTGTCCTAGATTTGGAGTCATTAGCAGTACTTATTCACCGGGGTTCGAACCAAGGATCTTCCAGATACATACTAATATCCATCAACATCAACGCCCTAAGACTCTAAAAACGGAATCATTTATGCTTAAAAAGTAGGCTCGCATATGATTAACATCTTGTAGTACTGTTTTGGTATAAAGCGCATTCAGCTGATGGTACGAGCGCACATGAAACCGAGTTCCAATATGCAATATTCAGTGACCAGCTGATATAAGTTACCATATTTCTTCCAGCTCGATTCCCAGCGTCATGGAACCTTCCTAAGAATTCGACATATTCCTATATACAATATCTATTTTCATCTCAACTGTTATGGCTCTTTTGGTTACTGTAAGATGACGAATATCGATTTGTTTTGTGGGGAATACAAGATAGATTATAGAGAAGCTTCGCTACTAAGAAGGTGATCCGACGATGAGACACACTATCTTCACTCCATCGTCAGGCATACTAAGGGGCACTATTATAAGGCACTTGGCTAATTGAATACTTTTTTGCAAATACCACAATTCATGCTGAAGTGTTGAGACTCAAAAGTGTTATTTGATGTCCGACATACTGTAGTGATTCCCTATTGCAGAAACTACCTACACAACAGGCCAACATTCCCCACACTTTCATCTCCGGTTTATACATGTTTTCGGCACTCTGTAGTGTTGAAGCAGTTACCAATTTCTGATATCCTTTTCATTGGCTCATATAGGGCAAATTGATTCCCTTTACCTGGTTTCTTGTGTCTGGTTATATTGTCTTGATCTGTGTACTGTGCTTGAGCAATCTTACTCAAGTGTTTGGGTACCTGATATTTAGTGTAGTAAGATGTGCTGTCCTTGACACAACTTAACCAGAAATAATACCGGTAAAGAGGAAAGGTTGGGCATGTGGCTAGCAACCCCATCCTCTAAAATTAAACAATGTTAGAGAAACTTCAAGCCACTAGCTTGAGGCCCGATGTTCCACTGGGAACGTGAAAGAAATTTCAAAAAAATTGTGCTGTGCGGAGTGTGAATAGGTGAATGAGGTAGCTTGCTTCGAGATAGCTCGAAACGTTATCGGATATGGCCAAGAATCGTAATCAGTGGCGAACGTGTTGTAATTTCCTTCTGTCTTCCCTTCCCGATGATAGTTAACGAATAATCTTTGAACTTGTTAAGCATGACTGTTTTCCTTCCAGAAGAAGTTCTTTATCCGTTCTCTACTTATATTTTCCCTTTTAATCTGTGTTGTTTTGTTGTTATTGTGTGGCGCATCTTTCTTGGTGCCATATTGTACCAAGTTTTTTTCTCCGTTTAAATAATAAAATAAATAATAATCTGCCTTTGCCAGCTGACGCATCTCCTCTCAGTTCTTAGTGTAAGGATAGCAACTGCCAAGGCTGAGTGTCAACAGGTATTTCGCATTCACATCAGTTGCAGCATACTGTGTATGACCATGGTTATTTGTCTGACCTCATCTTGTGCTTTGTGATGTGCCCCTCGGATAACCAACGGTCTACCTGCTTTCACACTTACGTCGGATGATTGGTGGTCGTTTTGCATTAAATGGCATATTTAATGTATAAAACCCGCATTATCTAGCTAGAATATTACGCAACCCAAGTAGGCAGCAAAATGTGTTCAACAGGTGTTTGCTTAATGGGTCATTATTAGTCAGTAGGAGATCACGCCAATCAGACACATTGAACAATAGCACATAATACCTATCTGTTAACTGTTAAGAAGTGTTCCCATTGAATGATACGCTTTTTGTATGCTGTTTCTGTCAAGGGTTTTGAGTCGGTCACTTAGGGTGTAGTGACACTAAGTGTAGTCCCTGAATGACTGGATCCAACGGAGAACTCTGCAGATGTGTACCAGTTCGAGTCGCCACACTCCATGTAGCACACAACATGAGAAGAGAGATTCAAAAGAGAGATAATAAACAGAAATGTCAGGCAAAAAGAGTAGTAATATAGAGGAACAATAGAATTTCATTTTCATTTAT